AAAAAATCCTGTTTGCACAATCAAGTCAAAATTAAAACGAAAACTGAACGATTAATTTACTGGAGACATTTAAAGCAGCTATTAAATACAATAGTTTCGAGTTTTGAAAATGTATTTTAGTTTTGTCTAACCTCGACACAAAAACGTCATCTCTGCCAGGCTACCGTAATGGAAGCAGACGCGAATCGTTTTATGTTCATTATTAACACCATACGATCAAACCATGCACCCTTGTTTACCAAGAACTTAGGGCACTGTTGTTAAATGTTACACATGAATATGATTGTTCAACCTTTTTCGAGAACGAGACGCTGAAATATTGGCAGAGCTGTGTCTATCACGCTGTTCACAACACGTAAGGCGTTCTTTGCCGTTGTCCTCAGTAAAGAAGTTGTTGTGATGATTCCAGGTCTTCTCCGGCATTTCTATTGCATCTCTGATGTCACTAGTTCTTCTTCATTTTTGCATGGCAGGCTGTCAGCAAAAGTCATGACAGTCTATTGAAAAGATTCAGAGGAACGGTGAACTCACAACTAAACCATAACTTATGCTCCTTCCGGCCATAAAGCTGATTCTGTCGTATCGATTTCAATAATTCATTTGCTTGTAATTTTTCGATAACTGCCATGACAAATATCCATGCATATTTAAAATTAAAATATTTTAGTTATTAGATTTCATGCATACCTCATTTGTTACATCCAGGTTTTCGTTTTGGATAAGTATACCGAGCAAAACACAACGAGGCTTGTCGGTCGCATTTGCATAGCTCTTCGGAACACTTATTAATTTGGTGCACTATAAAGGCAAATTATATTGCGTCATCTGATCGTATACGTTGCGATGAGCGCCGACTAACCGTTGCATATTGGAGTAGTGCGGTTGAAACAGGTCCATTTATAGCTGGTCGTATACAGTGCTAATTTTCCGCAATAGCCGTTTGCTCGGGCTGCGTCATAGCATTGGTCGTGATGCATGCAACATTCGTCCATGCCGTCCACTGGCTTACCGGAGCCGCCAAAACCGCAGTAGCATCCGTAGTTGTTGAAGTGAGTAAATGCGTCCAATTTCGTTGTACAATAGACCATACAGCCAAAATTCCACAAAGAGTTTCTTTTGCCACATAGGTAATTGTTGGAAGATTGAAGCAACCGTGCGGGACCTATGAAATTAACTAATGGAGAACATATACAATGCTAAGGTTAAGAAATCAATGCCAAAATAGATTCTGTTTTTAAGTTTTCTGAAGCATGATTCTGACTGAAATCTTTTGAACTAGGCTTCAAACCTTTTCAGTCACCAATGGGAAAAATATCTTGCAAATCAATTGCTCTACGCAGAAAATGGTTCAAAGCCGAAAGATTTTATTCAGATGTAGACGTGTTTCGTTCAGAAGGTAGCGGAACGTTCTTCCATCCGGTCACCCTCATTATGAGTTGGGAAGTTTCTTTCGCACGTTCAAGCAACTAGGCGCACTGGTACATGGAAGGCAACGTTGAGACATTCGCTATTGTCTTACTGAGTTGAGGTAGATCGTGGATGTTCACCTTATTGAGGTAATGATGCCAGTTTCTGTACAGTTGTCGTTGTTTCGCACCGATGTACATGCATTTGGATTCCAAACAGCTGACAGAACTTTAAATATACTGATCATAGACTTAGAAAGACATATGTTCCTCAACGCTTAAAGAAAAGAAAATTGATCGTCGTTTGCCAATATCATGAACGCGCACTATCCTACTTGCATAGTCTTCTTTCCATCACCCACTGCGATATTATTAATTTCTTTTCTTCAGCCCTGGTGGCCGATCGAACAGTTCTTTCTTCGTGAACGTGAGCAGTTCGTTATCCAGCAGTGATGTTTAAATGTTATTGAAACTTACCCATGCCACCTTCCTTCTTCTGCTGAACTCGCCGTTGATATTGTCATAAGAGTCAGTTAGGTGCCCGAGGTAACCGTAGCTAACGACTTTTTACGCTCCACTGTCAATGAAGATAGTATCCGTGGAATAGTGCTCAGTGTGCATCCAATTCTTCTTGAAGATGTTCTAAGAGAGACAGTGTCTCCTTGGTAGCATGGGACGATTCAGAGTGGGTCGTTACGGCGCCAATCGATAGTTGTTATCAACGTGCAGTGCCAACGCAGTACTGTGGCGCGTGTGAATCAATATGATTGGACTGTGGTCATCTCGATCAACAGTAATATCCAACCCATTATGTTACATATCCATCAGAAGCACTCCGTGAGCACAATGTGAAACTTCTGTCAAACTAACAAATTTCTTAGATTTCGCGTTTTACTTTATATCCCTATTTTTCTACTTTCACCTGTAAAGTTGAAGAAATGCCGGGAAGCGGACGTAAGGATAATATCCATTTTGAATGACTATCATATTACAGATATTATTACTTACCTTTATGGCTTAGCACATACCTAAAAAATAACGCAATGATGTTATATATTGCTCATAAAATGTTGCTACATAAATAAAGTTGTTTTGTACATCAGCTAGTTGTTCTTCTATGAAAGGTTGACTTTACACTAACTTATATTCATACATTTAAATTTTGTGAAACAATTGGGTAACCTGACAACTAATTTGACAGACATTATTATATTGCACTCTTTGTGTTAATATGCAAATAATGAACATCTGCTAATGGACGAAATCTTAGAATCTCAGAAATTCATGAACTCATGATATCTGGAACAGCGTGACGTCCTATGCGGTATCAGTTCCTCGAGCAGGTCGACGTAGACAGGATTCATACTGCATTCCTGCGTTCATTGTGGCTTTCGGATGCGAGTGGAATGATTGATGGAGTGAAATGCGCCTTTGTCGATGAATGCGTAGCAGAAGAGGAATTGGCATTTCTTTCACTTCTTTATTAAATGCTCCCAGACGTCAGTGTGATTCATTGATGACAGTTCTGTTCCAAAACGGAATTATTCTTTACTAACTAGTAGATCCAGGTCTTTCCAGAATATGGCTGAGGATGGTTGAGGTAAAGACCTTGTGAACTTGTGACAGAAGAATGATGGGCGATACTTCTGTAAGTCTTCAGCATAACTTTTCTTGAACAACAGATTCATCGAAAAGCTCTTTTGTGCTTCTGGTGTCTTTTTCAACCTGATGTACTTTGTGAGGCTTGGCGCAGGGTCGCTCTTCCTGACTTAAAATGTCCTAGGTCTTTTCCTTCCTGTAAAGATGTCTGATATTCTTGACGTTTTTGATTGCCCGTCTACTTCGTCCCAAAGACATCGGCAACGGTTTATGGGGCGACGTGCGGTAGCTTTCCATTCATCTGTACCTTCGAGGAGTAGAGCTTGTTGTAAAACCTCGTGAAGATTGCTTTCCTGCGACAACGACCTGTGGTTCTTCTTCTTCGTTTTTTAGCGCTACCGGAATCCGTTTTTTAAGAGGAGCACTTCTCCGCGGCTTTCCAGCTATTATTCTTTAATGCGGCCACTTTTAGCCTTGTTTTCCTATACTTTTCATAATCCATCTAGATCTTTTTCCGTATTTCTTTGCACGGCGCAATATACTAATCGTCCAGTTATCATCAGCCTGCATTCTGGCTTTCCTGTCAACTGTTGGCCGTTTGCAAGATTGCTGCGTTGTTTCCCTGTCCACGTTGCTGCCCACTAAATGACCACATGGTCTCTTTGATGGTACTGATCAGGTCCTGATAGCTTGCAATGAACGCACTAGATGTTCGTTCTTGCCTGTTTAAATCATCATCTTAAACCGCTGGCATACGCCAAACGTCTCTTGTTTATAAAATCCGCTGCATCTGCAGCTTTTCAGCAATTGCGCTGTACTTCACTGGTTACTGTATCGCGGAAGGGACTATTCCTCCCCAAAAGCACATATGCTTCTACTTTTCTGCACTGTTCCTCGATTTTGCATGTTAGCGTCCTGCGCGACGTCTTCCACGTTTCGACTCCCACACAAGAAGCTCACTACCAGAGTAAATGCTGCTGGTTCAGCCAGTTTGTCTAACAAGGCGAACCTCTTTTTCTTAATCTCCACATTTATTAAGGGCCCCGGTACCCTGCGGAAGATAATAGAGTTATTGTCTAAATGGTCTTATCACTGAACTCTCATTAGGCATTGAAGTCTGTATGCAGTTCAGTGGTTGTTTTGATACTTCGATAGAACACCTATTCCCCTGCCGTAGAAAAGCTCTGACATAATAGAGGGAGGTGCATACAGATTTTCGTGAAAAGCGTAACTTTTTTCTCAGTCCAAATATTAGACAGGTTTCCGAAAGCACTCTAGGCTGGGAGGACCCTCCCATCTAAACGTAGCTGGATAGTGCTATGGCTGGAGATGACGGGACCAAAATACTTAAACTGGTAAACCTCCTGAAGCGCTTCACTTCCCTGTTCAAGTCGTAGATCAGCTCTGTCGAAGGGGCTCCTCATAACGCTCGACTTCTAGACATTAAGGAAGAGGCCGATTTTCACAGCCTTGTATACAGAAGCCGTCAGGTGACAGAAGGCGCTTCAAGCACTACTAACCAGAAACAATTTATCTGCGCACTCCAGTTGAGCAAGATCTCTAGCTGAATATATTGAACTGTGCCTTCTGTCTAGAATGAAGCCTTTGTCTTTGCCAGGGGCAGGAAAGTCGAGAGCCACGTTGAGTGCATAGATGAAAGGATATCTCCCAGGCGAACTCCACAGAGAACCAATCAGGAACCTTTTCTTCAACGTTGATGACAGATATGGGTCCTATGGTTCCTTCACATATCTCTTCCAAAATAGAAGCGATGTGCTCATGTATCCCATAGAATTTCAAGATTTTCTGCATCGACGGACGATAAAGTGAACCAAATGCACCCTTAGAGTCGAGAAACCTGGAGAACCAAGCAACTAAACTGTCGACATTGCTCAGTGATTCTACGCAGAGTGAAAATTTGGTCATTGCAGGAGCACCGCTGCCCCCCTTCTCCCCAAAACTCTGCTTGATTTCAGCCTAGTTTCATGTCTGTTGCCTGCCTCAGCTTTCCATGAATGTCCAGGAGAAGGATTTTCCAGGAGTAGAGTGTGGCGTGATACAACGATAGTCGGAGCATTTTTCATCTGACCCTTCTGAAATGGAGAAACAGTTGCTCTACACTTGCATTCTACCGGAAAACATTTTTAGGTCTACATCTATGCAACCATAGGATGGAGCCAGTTTGCCATTCCCGTTCCTCCCTATTTAATTAACTTCGGAAGAATTCGATCCACCTCGCAGGACTTATTTACGTTGAATTTAAGGTATTGGGAGTAGATCAGCTTTGACCTCTAGTGATGACATAGAATTAATGGTCGGAAACAATGAATCTGGAAGGCAGTCGCTGAGCAGCGGCTGAAAATACCCAACTAGTCCTTAGAGACGTCCTTACTGACCTGCCAATGGAACCTCTTTAACGTCTTTGATAAGGATAGAAGATATATTTTGCCTATAGGAGAACTCTCGCATCAGTTTTACCACTCTGGCCAATCTGACATTTTCTGGCTGTCTCGTCAATCTTATTGATTTTCCTGTCTCGCATGTAGCTCTGATTGACCGTACGAGCGAGACGGCGATGAGCTGCCTTCATGGTGCAGTAGAACGTTGCAAGTGCTCCTTCTTTGTCTAATTCTTTTGCACCCTATTGGTTAGGGTTTTCTCCGTAGTCCAAGGTAGTTTGACCATTCCCCTCCTGACCACTACTACATTTATTACCTAGCACATGTAGGCCTTTTGATATCCCTGTAAGCTTAATCAACGCTGCCACTTCCTGAGTGGGCACTAGGGTGACTTTAAATTAATTCTCTACCTCTTTTTGGTAGGCCGACCTCACCGTGCCGTAATATTTTAGCTTATCAACGATGAGCAGCTGATGTGTATCAACCAGAAGGCTTTGATGTGATAAGGCTAATTATAAAAGAAGTTGTGTTACGCCTACTTGGTGATCAGATCCAATGTCAGCATACGAGACGAATGCAGAGGCGCCATGCCTGACGCGAATCTCCAATAACGAGCTGCGCCATTTGCGGGCTGATGAGGACGCAGTTCAGTTAGGTGTTGGGCTTCCATCAGGAAAATTCCAGGAACGCCTATGAGGAAAAACGTTCCCGCCGACGATTAAGCCCTTTGTGGCGCCAGAGCTTAGCAGACTGCCGCCGTTGTCATTCACGCTGTTGATACAATTACAGTCGAATACGCCTAGTCATGTGCTGCACTCGGTGCGCACCTCTGCTTTGAGGTCGCCTGTTAGCCGTGACAATTTTGACGCCTTACACGACAAAGCACTAACAGTCGACTGCAGGCTATCATAGAAAGTGTCTTCGTCACTGTCACGCGACACATTTGTCGGTCACAGTTCTGTCTACAGTCATCTATTTGACATTCACGCCACAGACCTGAATTCTCTCCGACACCTATTCCACCGAAATGGCCATCCGGCTTAACGTAGGGAACAGTAGAATACCTGCTGCGGCATGACCACTAAAATGACCACCCATACTGTAGGTGAGGCGTCTCCTTTCCACGGAGGTGAGCTTCAGTGACCGCCAATAAATTAAATTTGCACAGACAAGCCATACGGCAGTCATCATCTAACTTACCTTCTCCAGGCATAAAACGAACGTTCGATCAT